GTTTCTAAACATATGACATCATATCGGATAACAGATGCAAATTCTTCAAATTCGTCATGTACTTCAAGATTCCAATGAGGAAAACTTCCCGGACTTCACAACAAATGTGCGTTTTTATTACGTATTTCTATTGGTTAGATAAATGTTTAATACACTGTTTTTCAAAAATTGTTCATTTTATCATTTTTTATTTAAGAAGCCATATATTAGTTATATGGCTTTATTAATATTGTTAACTTTAAACCCGCCTAGGATTTATTTATTTATTTTACATAAATAAGTAGCTGTTACAGATTTTTGTTTTTAAACGATGAGGGGAGAGGGGGGGGGGGTGTTTAACGTACCACATAGTACACCTTATAGATATAGGTTAGCGTGGTTGACCTAAACAGCTCCAGGATGTCCCGATTCTGGGTAAATAACCTGCACACATGTAAGCATTAATTATAATCACTAACACTGCTGAGACTATATATAGCCTTCAGGTTAACATTGTTTTTATTGATGACGATGTTTTGCATTTAATGATGTTTATAAGAACTGTTTCTCTACTTTATTTATAGTCGATCAGGTTCCCACGTATGTTTTAGCGACTACTTATTTTCAGAATAGTATATTACAGAGTTCATCTATAATATAATTTACAAGTAATAACTAATGCACATCCAGATTTACTACACCACTAACGTTAAGCCTAAATTGATTATTGTTACAGATTTGTAATAACTGAAACAAGTGAAATTTTCCACGCAGTAAATATAACACTAGGCAACAACAACAAAACTTATCTGCTACCAGAAAAAATGCAATTGTTTCTGAGTACTTTGACGATGCTGATTCTAAAAATTATGTTGAAAATTACTGATCATCTCTTGTTTTTGAGTTATGATAGATTTATTCAAAATATTCATATATATCGTGAAAATAACAACTTTCTCTTTAATAACTTTATTTATTCCTTGAAAATTGCATTTAAGAATGCTCAAAAACAATACATAATACCAATACCAATTTTAAAAAGTAATGAATATGATAAGATTATATACTGGAAATATATTCAGGCTATGTCCAAAACTTTCGTCACTGTATTTTTTTTTTTGTTACAAAATATCTGCTGGACTTGTTGTGTCTTTTATGTATGTTCTCAGTTTCACGCTATAAGAACCAACAGTAATCTTCCATGGTCGCAGGATTACATCGTCCTTGATATCGTTGTTCTATTATAGAAATGTCTTGGTGGAAGCGCTCATCATTCTCATTTCTCACTGCATCTAGATCATTTGGAAAGAAGTCTAAATGGGAGTGTAAAAAGTGCATCTTTAGTAACATCCTAGACCTCATTTTCCTGTATTTCTTGAGCATATCATCAATAATCACAGCATAGCTTTCATTTCTGTAATTTCTAAGAAACTTTTGCCCAGTTTGAATGATTTTCAGGCAGTAACTTTTTCTGATTGAGTACTGTTTCAAATTCATCATCCATCAGCACTTACCAAATCTGTGGCCAAACAAAGATATCTCTTTTCATTCTTGCTTCACTGATTTTTGGAAACTTTTCAGACTGACATTTGAAATCATTACCATCTTTGTTCATTTCTTTTACAAAATTCTTCATGAGTCCCAGTTTAATATGAAGTTGGAGCAGAAACACATTTTGAGGATTCATTAAAGGTTGATACTCGATATTCTGTTTCCCTGGTATGTAATTCTCACCCATTGGCCATTCCTTCGTTTTGAAATGATTTCTATCATCTTGGCTGTCCCAGAGACACAAAAAGCAACAATGTTTGGTATACCCACTCGACAGGCCTAGCAAGAATGCAAAAACTTTTAGATCACCACATATGTTCCACCTATGGTGATCATATTTGATGGCCTCAAATACAGTCTGTATGCTTGGATAGTTTTCTTTCATATTCACAGCATGAGTAACAGGAATCAATGGTTTTGTGTTCCCATTGTGCAAAAGTACAGCTTTCAGGCTAACATTAGATGAGCTGATAAAAAAAATCTTCATTCTTGAAGATGATGTTCTGCACCTAATTCTTCCATTATTACATCAATATTTGTACAGAAACACAAAGTATTTTGCATACTGTAGTGAGAAGCATGATTTTGATGGTAACTTTGATAAATAGTAACTCTTGTTCTTGGAGCTAATAATTTCCATTGCTATAAACGAGAGCCAAGAAGTTTCCCATGCTACTTTGACAGAGACAAGTCATGAATCAGATCATTTAGTTCTTCTTGTGTGATCAGATAAGAAGGTTTATGTTGAGGTACCACAGGAATAGAATTACTAGATGAAGAGGATGAAGTTGATTCATTGTCTTCTTTGCAGAATATCTCTTCTGTTTCCCACTTCGCTGGTGAATGTGGCACTGGAAGACCATCCCTATGAAGTATTGTGTTTGTTCATTGTAAATGCAATATCTGGATATTTAGTGTATTTTTTAGGTTTGTCTGAATATCTAGAAACATTAGTCACACAAAAATAACAGACAGTTAGGTGATCTTTGGGCTCATGTTATATCATGCAAACTGCATGCAAGTGGAATACTTGTTCTCTACTTATTCAGCCACTGTGTCAGGCCAGATGTGCAAACTGTACAACATAAATGTGGATCCCAAAGTTTTTCTTGGTCCCCAATTTTACACCCAAAATAGTGGTAGTAAGGTACCTTTACCTTGTGTGTGATGTTTTTCCTTTGTG